CCCCCCCCCCCCATTACGCCCCTGTCATCATAATATGACTTTGTTTTCTTTTGATTTATCTTGATGAGAAAATGTAATAGAATGGTTAGCTTTTGTAAAGGGTGTGAGGTTATAGTAAGAGGTCGTTTTTTGATAGTTTTCGTAACTAGTTGTAATCTGTAGGTGCGCCGGTTTCTTATTCCGGTCATGAAATACGCTCATCCTGTTCAAATATTTCCAGTAGGCGATCAGAACTGACGATACTCAAATATAGTGTACACTTAATCTATGTTATTTATCTTTCAAATTAATATAAGGATTATACTATTAATAAACAGGTCAAAAGTCCCCAAGAGAAACAGAACTAGGCACATTTAAGTATTCTTTATTCAAACGTTATTCCCTAATATATAATGAGAGTCTCACAATGAAGGATTTCGGAGAATTTTTATAAGAAGACTATTCGGAGCAGTGATATATGAGTATCGACTGTATGTATATTTTTGAGACGTCAGATAGTAGTGATAGCGACATCATTCAAAGTCATCACTTTGGGTGAACTGGTTATATACGCTGAGATTATTGATAGCATACCCATCCTTGAGAGAAACCTTTCGATGCTTTGTCAAAAGTTTATTTTTATCGTTTTCTAAGGAATTGTAAAAACTTGATACTTGATTCAATCTAATATTTAGAATAATCATGATGTTGTTTTTCGTAAGTATGTGATTTAGTCATATATATATATATATATATATATCTATATATATTAAGAAAAGTGTTGATTATTTTCTCCAGATTTTTATGATACATGTAATAAAAATCGTGCATACATTGCTTCTTTTTTTTTAATCGTTACAGCATGTCTGATATGACTGTATTAGAAGTCTTTGTTAATAGTCAAAAATATTTTTGAGTTTGAAATCGCTAAAGAAACTGCAAACCCTGAACTGATTGCAAACACGATACTATTAAGTTCTACGGTTGGCTTGTCAATGAGTTTGAAATAGAAAAGCCGTTCAAGAAACCAAATTATATACTGAAGCGACCATTGCTATTATCTATAAACTCCCTAGTTCGCTCTTATGTCTAAGCTGATCGCTCCTGATATCGGATTATGAGGGTGTGGGTGTGGGTGTGTGGATGTGACTGTACTCGTAGCTCACCCACACCCACCTTGTCAACCAGCGATATCCGTGATCCCGAATTATTCTAAATCATCCCCATTTGTACATATTGAATGACTACTTTTTCTATAATATTCAAGTAACTTTCAAGGATAAGAAAAATCATATAAAGCAGACTAGTTAAATAAATGTTTTACATTCAATTTGATTTCAATAGTATTCAGTTAATTCGAAAAAAAAGATACATTTAGTAGTAGTATTATTTAAATAGCCACCTAGCTGAGCGACCAGTCGAATTCTTTACTATCTGTTTTCCTTTATGCTTGGAATCAGTTGTCTAAACACTTTGTCCAGTTTGCTCTTTACAATAACTAATATAATTGTCTATGTATGCATATCCAATCGAAAAATTACATTTTTGTGAAAGCATACTCACTATAGTGAGTTTCCCAAGGTGAACTCCACGGATTCCAATGAACTTTTGTTCATGATACTGCATGATGTTATAGTAAAAATAGCAAAAGACTTTGAATGCATAGCACTTTCTTGAAAAATGATGCTCATTTTTCAGATTTTCTTTTT